AATGGGGCGGGAATAGAACGAACTGTGTGTTGATGGGTGTAGATATATAGCAGGAAAAATAAGTGTGAAAGAGTTAAGACGTTTCGGTCCATTAACTTCGAAAAAGTGAACCATCGACAGCTTTGTGCAGTAGGTGGTTGTTGTTGGCATTTGCTACCATTTGGGCAACTTTCTGAGTGACTCAAACTTTTTTGGAGAGCGAAGAAGGGGAATGGATTTTGTGGAATATTAGGATGTGGGCTTTAATTTCCTGCCTATTAGTGACTTCGCAACTTTAAATCCAAAAAAAATTTTTTTTTTCGCGTAAATTCTCAGATATGTACAGACGAATGCCATGCCGGAAGAATTGGACAAGAAATTTCACTCATAAACTAAATCTGAAGTTATATGATGTTTCATATTCGTTCGAAATATAAATTTATCCATTTTGGCCGAAAATTTTCAGAATCTGTCTTGTCGCCAGATTTCTAGAGCAGCGCTGCTGTTCGACCTTTAATGTACGTGTGTGTTTGTGTGAATCTTTTCCAGTCGGGTGGCCCGCCAAATGAGGAAGTTAAAACTTAGTCCCTGACGTTTTGCTATGCCTTAGAATTCCAGTTTCAGCCTTATAACTTCACTGTATGCCGAGCTATTACTTTAGCAAATGCAAGAGAAAGTTATAATAAGGAAGAATGATATAAAGGGGAAAAATGAAAAAGAGGGTAAAAAATGAAAATCAGAAAATTAGTGAGCTTTTATAATGGTAAGATGTGTTGCGGTCTATTAAATCATATACATTTCTTACCATCACCACAGTTGGACCTCGTCAGTACAACAAGATTTTCGTAATTGAAGTTACTGAAAGTTAAGATTAAATTAAGTAACGTTACCAGTATGTGCCTCAAAAGAAGGTATAATTCCCATAGACAAAACGGAGCAAAAAACGTAAACCCACGTAAACCCTTTGTAACGCCATCACTTTATATTATAACACAAGCATGTGTATTTTTAGAACAGATTTTCTTTTTTTTCAGATAACCCATACCGTGTGGAAACGGGGGGACGTCTGAAAGCGCTACGTACAACATGCAGTATGGAAAAAATCAGAAAATATCACCATGATTTTTATCATATCAACAATATGTTTGTGATTGTTTGTGGCTCCATCGACCACAACAAATTGCTGCAAATTTTACAGGATGTTGGTGAGGGGCTTTGATTTAATCACATTCATTAATGCATTTTCAGGAAGAGCTTCTGTGATTACTGACATAACTTTTAGATATGACTTTTTTAGGAATAAAAATGAATATGAAATTTATAATAAAATAGAAGAATAGAAGGATTTCACTTGAATGTCATGTATACTGAAGACATTTTATGACGCATTCTGTGTTTCATCCCTTAGCTGTATACACACGCCGAACAGAGAAAAGCTGAAAAAGAGTTAAGATTGATTCCATTAAAAATGTAAGCTCATTAAAAGCAAAGTGCCCTCTGCCCGTCACTTCCCAGACGTGATAGCCAAAACCTGAATTTTAGTGCACATTTGATCTCAGTCGACAAAACTGTGCTAAAAATATGCGTTTACAAAAGCCTTCTTAGGCATTACGTAATAGTGCGCACAGTCAAAAGTCAAAGCCCCCTCCGTGTTTTTTGCTGTCTGTGAGGAGTGGAAGCAGTCAGAAAAGCCCGATTGGCAGCAAGTACCAGCAGCAGCAACAGCATCTGCTGGCACGGCTTTCAATGGCTTTCGCTTTCGAAGGTTGCTTAGAAGTAAGCTGATGGTGGGTTCATCTCTCCGCCATAGGTCAATGCCAGTTATCTTTAAAGCATATCGTAGAGGGATTGATTATCCAGTTAAATTCTCGATTTATCGTATTCCAACACTGTTGTATCCTACCACACTACGCCCGCCAACAATGCGTTTACTAATGTAAATAATAAAATAATTTTTCTTACTTTTTTTTCGTCGTACTGACGAGGTCCAGTTGTGGTAACAGTAAGAAATGTATACGACTTAATGGACCGAAACATTTTTTACCAATTACAAATAATTTAAAAAAAATTTCTAACCAGTATAATAATTTTATTAAAATAATTATGCTAATTTTACTAATTTCATAATTCTTATTTTCCACCTTCTTCGATTCTTCTTGTTTCAACTATTGCTAACCTACCTTTCTATTTCATATAATGTAATTTTCATGGACTTTAAAGGGAAGCATTTTCATCTGGCATTTCGTCAAATCCAGGAAATAGCTTTCGGTACCTCACTGATACCTCATAAGTATTAGTTAAAATTAACTTATTGTTCTGTGATGTTACAGAAGACCGGACATATCAGCGTGTGCCACAGTCTTTCACTGTCCCATTCAAGCAACCGATGCAGACATTTACTGAGGCGATCGAAACGAAGATTGTCTGTCCCAGTGAAGACAATATGCTGGGAGTGGTTGCAATTGCATGGGCTGGGCCTCGCAATCATGTTCGTCTGCTTTTGTAATGTTCTTCATTTATTTGGACGGGTTCATGACACTCAGTGTCATGCAGAAGGTCGTCAGGAAGAGTTCGACTCCGCCAGTGAGACAACCAATCCCTCTACGATTCAGTTTCAGTGGTTAATTGCTCTTAGCATTTACCAGGGAATCAAATCAGCTATCCTTCCGCTTGCTTCTAAGCAACCCCTCAAAAGAGCATTCCATCAATAGCTTTCGTCAATGTGTTAAGGAGCGAAAGACGGCCGAACGGAGGATGCTGCTGCTGCGGAGCTGTGGGAGACTTTCGCGCAAACTAAACTAATGAAGCCTTTTCAGAAAGAAACAAAAAAAAAAAAATTGGCCAGCGCACGGGCTGCCCGTGCGAAGATGCGTTTTTTGCAGAGTTCCCT